CTGGGTTCCATTCCCAGCATGGCAAAAATAAATAAATAAATAGATAGATAGATAGATAGATAAGTGATTGATTATTCAGGATTTAGCATATATCAAATAGGGAAGTATGGTGAAGTAATATTTTTACATTTGGGAGTGATTCTGTTTTTATAGTGCCCAAATGAATTTACAGGAAGATGAGTAAATTTTTTAAAATTAAGTTTTAGAGGAACCATCTTTAGGGAAATCATTATCCTTATCTGAATTCCATGATTTAAAAATAGCTTTTCCATCACAACAGTATGAAAATAAGAAAAATGTATTGCGGTATTAAAAGGAAGAAGAAAATATAGATAAGTTCAAAATTGAGTCTCAGAAAAGTTCTGAAAAGAGGGTGGACAAAAAGCTTAAGTGTCCTTAGGGCACAGTAAATCTATTTATTGCTCCACCAACTTGAAGCCTAAAGCCAAAACTGTCATTCTGTCAGACAGGCAAACTTCTCAGTAGGTAAAGCTGAACTTATATTTTTAAATGAATGCAAACAGCTCAGTTGGAACACACTTAAGGATAGTTTGCATTTCCATTACCTCTAACCATGAATTTTAGAGCTGAATTTGAAGATAAGGTGCTTAATTTAACAGGATATGATTATGCTTTTTCTGATCAGACAGAGAAGAGAAGACATGAGTTGTTTGTTTTACCAAATCTGGACAATCTATATAAGAGGCTGCAGCTCTGCCCCTGGGTTTTGTCAGCATCTTATTGCATTCACAGAGTTGGTTGCTCACCTCCTTCTCTAAGCCAGCCCTTGAGACTGCTGGTGTCATCTTTCCACGCAACCCAGGCTGTGGAGCTCATTATCTACTGCAGTTCCTGGGCAAATGGTGTCTGCAGGAAAAGAAAAAAAAAAGTGTGATAATGTCCTTGCTAGGTTTGGAAATCTAAAAGCAGGATACTTTTCAGGAAAATGCTGGGCTTTAGAAGATTATCTCTTCCCAGTCCACTGTCTACTTGCTTGATTGCCCAACCTAATTCTTTGTTTACTTCTTCATCCCAAAGACGTCACCGATGGGATGGGAAGAGAAAACAGTTTATGTCCTTTGTCCCACTTATACTTTGAATCCAGGACCAAAGAACATCTGAAGATGGGGACATTGTGGAATGTTTGGTGTGCAAAGGCGAGCAAAATTGGAGAGGGCTGAATAATTGCTAAATTAGATGAGCTTTTATTTAATTCCTAAAGTTGAACATTAGAAAGAGAGGCTGATGGCTCCCAGGATGAGGATCCTAGCGGTACAATTTATCTTGTGTGCCAGCGCTCCCAGGGCTCCCAGGGCTCCCAGGGCTCCCAGGGCTCCTGCTCTTCATGTGGCATAGACAATGCCAGTAAGTCTTCCTCAGAGGGAGGGAGGGGATACTGCTGGTTTCAACCCCAGGATCAGGCTGAATTTGCTTCTCTAGTTACTATAAAAAGTTGGAGAATAGCCCATTGCCATTGATTCCCCTTTGTGGAGAAAGGTGGATGTTTTTGAGATAATTGTAACAAAGTGTAGGGTGGAAATGGATAAAAGGATTTTTCTCTGACAAAATTGATCAAAACTTGGTAGATGTAGAAATCCAATTAGTTGCCTTTCTATTCTACTCTACCCAGAGAGCACTAAAAACACTCCCTCTTTTGAATGAAAATGCAGATTGCAGTACATTTTAATCTGTACTTTCGTAGAGTCTAGATGCGGTAGCACATGCCTGTAATTCCAGTATTCAGAGGCTGAGGCAGGAGGATTGCAAGTTCAAAGCCAGACTCAGCAATTTAGCAAGGCCCGAAAGCAACTTAGAGAGACCCTGTCTCTAAGTAAAATACCAAAAAGGGCTGGGGATGCGGCTCAGTGGTTTAGCACTCCTAGGTTCAATCCCTGCTATCTGCTCTCCCTCAAAAAAAGAATAGTGCCTGGAAACTAGCACCTCCATTTATGAGCTCTCTTCCCTTGGCAAGTGACTTGACATCTTTGGGCTTCGGTTCCCATACCTCTACAAAGAGGGAACAGGAGTCCCTACCTTATAGGGTTATTCTAAGGATTAAATGAGGTGATCTATGTATATATGATAGTTGGATTTGTGCCCAGCCCAGTAAATGTTAGCTATTGTTATTATTTTCTGCCTCTCTTTCATATTTTATATAAAAAGTTTGATTTAAGAAGTTTTCACTTGCTCTTTTAAAATTTTTTATGGAATTTCTGTATTTTTCTTTAGCTTGTGATTGACCCTTCCAGAAAGCACTTTGGAATGTTCTGTCAGATGGGTTATCATGTATTACTATGCATTTGCTTATAATTAAGTTTGGGGATCTTACAATTGACTCTGCACTTATATAAGAGTATTTATAGAATGAGTGATCCAGGGGGCTGGGGTGTAGCTTAAGTGGTAGAACACTTGCCTAGCAATTGCAAAACTCTGGGTTCCATCCCCAGCAACACATGCACACAAAAGGAAGAATTATCAAATGGCTTTCTAAATGCCCCCATGATGTGTTCAGCTGTTTGTGCTTTGAACAAATGCTTAGTGAGCACACAGAGTGAGCTAGATTGTGTTTGGAGCCTGGGAATTTAGAATACATCATTTGAGGTCCTTGTCCTCAGGTGGTTTGGTTACATTCTGGTGAGAGAGACAAATCATTAGCAAGTAAACAGACATTTCAGTTTGAAGTACCGTGAAGAGAATATAACAGGACACCATGAGAAGGACAAGGGGAGAGAGAGCGTGGGTTGTCCCAAAAAGGAGTCAGTTGAAAAAAATGAGACTTGTTCTGTGATTTAAGCAACAGGAGGAACCTAGTTATTCACTGCTGGGGGAAGAGAAAAGCATGCCACCCCCAGGGGAAGTGAGCTGATGTAGAAGAAAAGCTGGTGCCTATTGCCCACCTCCTGAGAGGGGAGAACTATAACTATGCATGGCCAGACAGCAAAGGCAGCCCAGGTGACCACACTAGTAATGTCTATTTATGAGGTCACACATCTGCCCAACAGCATGGCCAGTGGAAGAGTTAAAAATTGAACTCCAAGGGGACACAGTCCTGCTCCAGCCATAAGTTATTTACCAGTTTGGGAAAGCTTGGCGTATCTTGTTTTTATTTTGACTTTTGGGAAGTTAAACATACTGAATTAGTGTAAGATGTCCCATGCATCCACAAGGCAGCTTCTCCAGTTATCAACCACAGCCAGTCTTGTTTGTATCTCTTCTTATGTCTTTATTTTTTCATTTCTTAGTGCTTTGATTCAACATAACAGCGTGTATTAAGATACATCACAGCCAGGCTCAGTGGCACATGCCTGTAATCCCAGAGGCTCAGGAGGCTGAGGCATGAGGATCGTGAGTTCAAAGCCAGCCTCAGCAAAAGTGAGGCACTAAGCAACTCAGTGAGACCCTGACTCTAAACCAAATACAAAATAGGGCTGGGGATGTGGCTCAGTGGTTGAGTGTCACTGAGTTCAATCCTGTGTATCCCACCACCCCCACACACACACAAAAAAGAGATATACCAAATGCCAGATGGTGTATGTAAAAGCAAATAAAAACAGTCCTCTGCTCATTTCCCATGGCCCGTTAGCACAGGCCCTCCTGCACAAGGACCTCATCACGATAAATAGTTGGCACAAACCAAAGGTCATAGGAGTACAGAAGAGAGAGTGATTCGTGCCTCCCTGAGAGGTGGAGGAAAGGGAAATTGGGAACCTCAGAGAGTGAGATCATACAAAGCGGAGATGGGAAGAAAGATGAGGGTGGAGGAAAGAACATGAGCACAAGAGCATTTGGGGGCAAAAGATTAGAGCTGAGCACATTGGGGAATAGTAATAAAGAGAGATCTAGCTAGAAACATGGGTTGGGCTACATTCTAAAAGGCCTTGATCACCAGTCCAAGAAATTTAAATTTTATTTTGTAGAGAAGTAGGAATAATGTAATTCTTATGACAAAAAAATAAATAAGTAAACTAGAATAGTGGGATCAATATTTCATAATGATAATGCTAGTGACAGTGACGGGGTTTGATGGGGGAGAGCCTGGATAGGAAAACCAGTTGAAAGACTCGTTCAACAGGGTAGATGAGCACGAGATTATAATAAATGGGACACTGCCAAGTAGAGTTGCATAAATGTGAATCCCAGAACTAGTCTGAAGGGCTGGATAGATAAGACTTTATAGAGAAGATGGCTTTTGACCTTGATCTTGACAATGAAAACAGATTGGACATGAAGGGAAGGAGTTGCGGTAATAGGAACAGCATGTTCAAGAAAGTACAGGTCTACAAAAATGCAGGAATGTTCAGAAATTTGCATGGAGGGAAATGAAGCTGCTGGCTGACCAGCAAGCCGACCACTAAAGTGGTGCCAGCCAAAGATGGCCAGGGCTTTCATAATTCATAGACAGGCTTAGTGACTGATGGGCAGTGCCGGGTGAAGGAGAGGAATGAATTGCAAAGCTGAGGTTTCTAGGCTAAAAATACTTTAAAAAGTAGAACATTAAACAAGATAGAAAGTGCAAAGGCAGGTTAACAGGAAAAACTTTGTGTAGCTGCAGACATGCTTGATATGTTGTTACCCTGGACCGTCTGGGTGGGAATGCCCAGTAGGCATTTGGAAATTCAGGTATGGAAAGTGAATTTGGAGTCACCTACAGGAGCTGATGAGAGGCAGAAGCTAATGAAATAGTGACTGAAGTCTTCCTTTGTTACTACAGACCAGGTGTAACCAAATCGTTTTGTGACACATCTCATTCTGTTTCCTATGGGTTAGAATGTCCCCATCAAGGATGGTGATGTTTTACGCCTTGATTGCTCTGTGACCTGAATGGTATAACTACCATCTTTTGCACAGGGATTGTCTCTGTTTTCCAACATTGTGATAGTATTCAGCTGCGGGACACCTAGAGCTACCTGCTTTTCATTGTGAACATTGCTGCCCTCAGTTCCACCCAGGTAGAGTGCGCCTGGGCCACCACGGACTCACAGTTACCTTTCTTCCTCCAGGTTTCATCGTCCATAAGGAAGTGCGGAACTATTTGGAAACAGCAATGGATCGTCTTTTGGGGAAGCCCTTCTTCCTGAAAACCTGATATTGCACTGAGATTTGAGTGTGTGTGTTTCCGTTGAACCTGTGGTGAAGGAGACATGTGACTCAGCTTTGATCAAAAGTGCTCCTCACCTGTACAGCCAAGATGGGCCAACAAGCAAGCAGAGGACACAGTGAGCCTTGCTGCCCAGAATGTGTATTGATGGTAAGGCGCACTGTGGTTACATCCGCTGTTCTTCATCAGGAGTTGAAATCACAGAAGATGAGCAGAAGACAATCGCTGACTCCCTACCAGAAAGCCAAATGTTGTCACGCATGCGGGTTAAAGAAAAATGGAGATTGGAATTGCTGGGCACCAGAAAGGGGTGGAAGTTGAAAATCAGAAAAAAAAGGAGAAAAATACTTCATTATGTTAATGAAGAAGAGAGAAAATTGAAGCATATTTGTATTTTCAAAATAGGCATTTGGTAGCTGAGAACTTACTAAGGGATTTGGGAATCTAATCGACCAATGTGGATTCCTTAAAGACTTGATTCTAGAATACTCTTGTTTCACCATTAAGTTGGTACACTGTAGTACCATTATTTTATGTTGTGCCAGTGAATCCAGTTGCCAGAAACGTCTGAATGTTTTCATTCATCTTTTTCTTAAATACAAGAGGTTTCTATTGACTCTGACCAAGCATGCTTACGCAAATTTTGTTGCATGCTTTAAGTAGCATGGCTATACACATTTGACTATTTTTTTTTAAATACTTCTTTCCTAGTGTATCAGTGTATCAGCCCTCCACAAGGATAACAGGACTGGACATAAAGTCAGATGTCATGCAGCTGTATAAATCTGTTGCAAGCTTTAGAAATAATTCTTTCGGCCTTTCCCTATCTTGATTATCTCTAGAGTCAAGCAACCATACTTGTTCTAAAGAAGATACTATTGACAATCATGACACCCTTTAAAAAACCTGAATCCAAAGTTAAAATGTAAGCGAGGTGCAAGTGTGTGCTGTCTGCTGTTAGTTTGGAGCAGGAGGCAAAGGACCAGTTATGGAGGATCATGAATTCAAAGCCAGCCTCAGCAACAGTAAGGCGCTAAGCAACTCAGTGAGACCTTGTTTCTAATTAAAATATAAAACAGGGCTGGGGATGTGGCTCAGTGGTCGAGTGCCCCTGAGTTCAATCCCTAGTACCAAAAAAAAAGAAAGAAAGAAAGAAAATGATGGGTTGCTGCTATTTAAAAATAAATAAAATAAAGCACATGAAAAAAATACCCCAATGCTTAAAGAAAACAGAAAATTTTTGCTAAGTTGTGTGTGAGGAAAACCTCATCGTGTATATCAAGAGTCTACAGACTGCATCCATAAATACAGTATTTATTTTAATGCTAGAAGACCAGTGAGGTAAAAGTCATAGATTTCCCTATGATCCTGCAGTCAGTATTGTTTACATTTAAAAATAAAACAAAAAATACCCTCTATAATGAAATTGATCTTTTTCATGGAGTCAGCCCCAAGCCCAGAATGACTTCTAATCTCAAATGCATTGACCTTATGTCAATACCTCCTCGCATTGAATTGTTCTTTCACAGTTATTTTGTGTCCCTTCTGTTAAAATCACATGAAATCTATAAAAAGAAGGCAAGACCTAACTAAAGGATATATTATTCTTTAGAACATGGGTGAGAAGAATTTTCTGAATTGTTTCTGGTTCAAAATGTGGAAGAGTGTAATTTTCAATTTCAACTCCAAAGTAAACATTTCATGTGCTGGATAAATTTTGATCCTACCATTCCTTGGCATTTTAAAGAACCACTTGAAATTGGGTAATTTTATTTTAAATTTTTAAAATATTGACCCCAGTTGCCATACTATAAAAAGCCAGGACCATTTTATAAATAAGAAGAGTAACCAGCATTAATGTACCTCTTGCTGAAGTCAGCTATGTGCATTAACAAAATAAGTCTGCTTTCCATAGCGCTGTCATTTCACTAATAGAATAAGACGTACCTTGCTTTGAAAAATATGTTTCTGCATCTCCAAATCTGTGGCTCTATATCTGGCTATGGTATTGTCTGCTCTGTTGTTCTGCAGTGCTGGGGATCAAACCCAGGGCCTTGCACATGTTAAGCAAGTGATCTACCACTGAGCTACATCCTAAGCCCTTGTCTGTTTATAAGGTTTCAATCCAGCCATAAAAGTTAATTTTGTTCTCATTTTTTTTCCTAAGTTATCTTTTTCTTTATTTTATCTTATTAGCATTTTAGTGACTTGGAAAAAAAATACCAGAGAATATAATGTTCCTTTCCTTTTTCTATGCTTATAATCTTTGAGTATTTTTTAAAATTTCTAATTACAAGGTCTTATATAATGTTAAATATAAAGACATCACTGATTTAGCACTCAAGATACACGTCAGAGAAAGTTCCTGTTGAGTTTATGGAAGAAACTTTTCTTTTTAACCATTAGTGATACATAAAATGTAATTCTTTTATTTTAAAATGAGATTCACCCTGGACCAAAGTGAAAAACTGGGCAGTAAGTAATTCAGTAATTTTCCTTGTGTAATTAAATCAGATTTATGAAGTACCCACACTTTTTTTTCATACTAACTAATACATTCGGAGAAAATTTTATCAGAGAGAAATTTGAAAGTAAATAATAAAATTAACCACTGCTAGTCTAATATTTAAGTGACTAGAACCACCAATTATTTCATTAGCAGGATCCGCTAAATAAAAAGCTATGGAAGGAATTAAAGGATTATGTGCTGAGCTGTATTTCGCAGAATGAAGCTCTATTTTCTTGGTTAATTTTTAAAGGCACAACTGCATATCTCCCACCAGCAGCCCATGCAAGGGTCTCCTGCCCAGCAGGCCTACAAGAATGCAAAGGTCTGGGTCATCCTCCCTGTAATTATGCCTCTGCCCACTACCAGCATTTCTGCAGTCTAACCACTATGTTTCTATTCTATAAAGAAAATAAATGTGTGTGGGAATTGGTTTTCTTTTTTGGCTCTGGGGAATCAAACCCAGGCCTTGTGCATGCTAAGCACCTTCTACCACTGAGCTACATCCCCAACCCCTGTATTTCTTTCTTTGTTGCTGCTATAACACAGTTCCAGGTTTTCACTGAAGTGTGACATTAGGCTAACAAAGAACAAGTGAGTGACTTTTCCTGGATTCTTGATATATGATTAAAGAAGAAAACAAACCCACCTCTAGGAAGGAAAGAATAAAATGTGAAAACCAAAGTGACCATTCCATCTTTTTTTAAAAAAAATAGGGGGAAAATAATATTAAGGTGGTAAGAAAATGCTAAATGAACTTTATCAACATCCTCATGGTCATTACCAATCAACATGGAAAAAAATGGTTCTCTAGTGATGAACATGCATTTAAGGCAGCTTACTTGATAATTTCCTGTGTAAGAGAAGGGTTTTGCATTTTTTTTTTACATTAGCTGTTATCTATCTTTATGCTAATTCCTTGAATCATTTAACTGAAATCTACAGTAGTTAGAGAACCTATCTTGGGCATTTTGAATAGATGTTTAATTAGAGAAAAAAACCAACACATCTATTTCTCTGACTTACCCAGAAAAACTGATTTTCTGGTTGCATCTTTGTATCCCTTATTAGCAGAATGAGTGTAGTTACTTATCTTTCTCTAATGTCATTAAACATTCTGTTAGTAGAAAGTTCTAAACTTCTTTTTTTTTTTTTCTTTTCTAGTGCTGGGCATCAAACCCAGCTAGGCAAGTGTTCTACCACTAAGCTGGGTCCCTAGCCTGGAGTTCAGAAATTTAAGTAAAAAAATCAGCTTAAGAAAATAGAAGGATTGAATATACTCTTCAGAAATCACCAAATATTGAAATGACTCATGAGTCCTTAAAACCATAAGTCAGGTTGTACATCCTGCAGTTATTTCAGTGCTGTACTAGCACATTAAAAGGAGAAAAAAAAAATCTGGGCACCGTAGTGCACACCTGTAATCTCAGGTATTCAGGAGGCTGGGGCAGAAGGATCCTAAGTTTAAGGCCAGCCTTGAACACTTGATGAGACCCTAACTCAAGATAAAAAATTAAAAGGATAGGGATATAGCTCAGTGTAAGAGCGCTTGCCTATTATGCATAAGGCCTGGGTTCAGTCCCCAATACCAAACAACAATGATAACCCCAAAATACTACCTTATATTTGAAAGAGGAAAAAAAATGGCATTAACACTGCATATCCTGATACATACCACACAAACATATAACATGCATTTTACTTATACTTCATAGAGTCAAACACAACTTGTAAAAATTCACAAAAGGAAAAGGCATACCACATAGTAGTATGTCATTTAAACCATGAAAACTTTCTTTCCTTTCTCTCTCACTCAAAAATGTTTATAGTCCTAGCAGCATATTTCATACAAAGTAAGAAACTTCCCTTATAGTAGGTAAGGTATATTTAAACAAATACAAGATGTATTGACTATGTCATTCTCATCAGTGTGGCATAACTATTCAAGCATTCCTGAATTCCAGTATATGAAGCCTGTCCTTACTCATGAAAGTATATTGAGATCATTATTTCTTCACAGCATTAGAATATGTTGTGAGCATTAAGGAACCACTTAGACACAATTTGTTTGCAATATTCTCCCTTAGCCCTTAGAATGGTTAATCTTTCACTAGCAAGTCTTTGATCTGTACTGTCTGGTGGGGGATACTATATTGTTTTACTTGACAAAGCAGAACAAACTTCTGGAATTCAAATATGTGCTAGAGGAAAAGATAACAATAAAGTAATCATGTTAATAGGAGCATCTTCCTGAGAAAAAGCACATCCCTAGATAATTCAAACTCAAATTCCAAAGAGGAACTTTAGGCAGGCAGTGGCCAAAGGGTACTAGGGACCAAAAAAGGAACCCCGCAAACCATTCTCATTTTCACCTTCTTTTACTTTTTGTAGTCATTAAGCTTAAGATCTGTTTGAAAATGTGAACCATCATTAGCATTTCGAGAAAGCAGCTGAAAATAAGCCACATCTGTGGGCACTGTTTTGAAATCAGAATCCTCCCAAATTAAGAAATCCCATTGCATACATTGTAAGATTTCTGGCAAAGAAATGAAGATTTCTGTGGCAGCTATTCCCTCCTAAAAATGACCCTAGAAGAAAGGCCATGTTTAGCGATGCTAGGATTTCCTGCACACACACACACACACACACACACAAATGTCATTTAGTTTGTGGCATTGCTCGCACAGCTGCACATAGGAGACAACATTTGTCAATTGATGTTTCTCCGTGGGGATGTTGTAGTCATTTAGATTTGGGCAATTCTCTGTTACACAGAAATGTCCCACACCTTGCAAGGTGTTTTAACATCCCAGTCCCCTGCTGACAAAATGCCAGTAGTGTTCCCAGTCAGTGTAAAACCCACAAGTAACAAGCTCTTCCCCAGCTCACTTGCCCTCATAGGGTGGTACCTCCCCACTTGAACATAATTGAGAACACACAGGCAGAAGTGCCTATCCCCAAAACATTGTCTCTACTGCCTTGTGTTTCTTTGGGCCCATTCATTTCTCAAGCCTTCTGCTTCCATTCAGCTTTAATTTGCCCATTTCTTCAGGCAGGAGTTTCCCAGCAGCCTTGGCAATTCTGTGTGCAGTGGGCATGGTAACTTGGCCTGATCCCTGTGTGTACTTAAGGGAGAGATTTTACATGAAGCGAGCTTTCTCCCCTCACAATTTTTACTCCAAAACTACGCTGTTGGACATAGTTCTTGCAGTGTTGTGAGGATTGTCACAAGAGTTGAACACAAACACAGTGACTCTTAACAGTCCACATAAACAAAGCAGGGGGTCTTTGGAAGTCACCATCAGATTTCACATGGTAATGTTACATCCCATGAGTTCCAAAAGAGTCTCTTCTTTCTCCTGTTAAGGAAGCATTTAATGCGCATGCAAATGCTTGGATTCCCCTGTATAAATAGTCACGTGGTTCAGCTCTTCTAACAAGGTCTGTGAGTGCTGCATTATAATGGAAATGTGGATTAACTGTGGATTGCATGCCTGTAGTTCAACTGCAGCAATGGTCACACACAAACCTCCTTT